ATGTTGGTGTGTATATACAGTCAATAAAAAACAATTTGTTCGCCATTTCCGTGTTATTCTTGCCGTTACCATGTCTATATCTGAATGGCCGATTGTTTTGTCAATATTTGAACTGGATTAAACGATACCAGATAATGATAAGGAAATTGTCTAAATCAACAAATAAACCGCGGCGCGCATTAAGGGCTTTATGTACAGGTGTGAACGGACTAGGTTGCTATTCAGCGCCACGACCCGACATTGACATATTATATTTAGTATGAAGGAAATGAAAGAGAGAGGGGGTTAACGTCCACTCGACACAAACTAGGTCATTACGGAATTAACATTTGGTTCAATCGTATATCAATAATTCGCTAGCGCGTAGGGGTCCTAAGCAGTGGGTTGAAACCGGAGAACCCGGAGAAAACCCACGAGGTTGGACAGGCGACCGTACTCCTTGTCACGTACAACTGGGGAATTGAAACCACGCCAGTTGACTCAATGACAGATCTTATCGGGATTTTCACACTTCGTTTACCTTGTCAGTGGTCTTTAGCAGTGGGAGAAAACCGGAGCACCCGAAGAAAACCCACAGGGTTTGATAGGCGACGAAGGGAGTGAAAATTGAATAGGGTTTAACGTCTAGATTGTCTGGACAAACTGGACTAATGAAGACGGGTATACGCTATGGTAATTATTTGCTCTTCTTTCTTTCGTGTTTATTTGATTTTTTCCACTTAATATTTCGGGGGGGGGGTATTTTTCTATCTTAATCCTAAAGTAATGATAAGATCTCAAATCTGCCGCGAAATCTATTAAAAAATTAAACGAAAACCCTTTTTTACCGATTCTATTTGTGACTTGAAGTCAAGTGGCAGTAAATGAATATTTAAAGCGTATTGGACAAGCGGAATACTAAAAGGTTAAATCATTTTTTTTTATATTTCATTACTCAACTTCAAAATGCAATTCGTATAGGACAAGCGGAATACCAAAAAAAATTGAATCCAATCCGGCATTAAATTCACTTTTAATTTAAAGTAGCTAAGTCTCTAACTCAATATCATCCAAAATCTTCGACATTGAAAACACGAATTATTTGTCAATTTAAATCAACATTGATGTTGTGATCTTACCGGGAAAAGATGGGCTTCTGATATCCAATATTTAAGACAAAATAAACATTTTACCATTGGTACACGAATCGTATACCATAGTGCGTTTCAAGCCCATTCTAACAAGGGACTCGAAGAACGAGGCTAGACATTCAACAAGTCATGTGAAACGGTGACGGCATATTCATATCGGGATAGTGTGCGCAATAAATACTATGTAGACTAGAATAACCAGGCGCTAGAAATTTTCATTCGATTGTGACTTCTGACATATTTCGCAGAACATAACTGATTTGAAATTAGAGTAAAAATGGAAACGATTGAATGTAAATCAGTTTATATATATTCCTATTACATTATTATATGCGTTACGACCCATTTGTGTCAATTTCTAGGTCCAAAATATTAGCGATTTAGCTCCTTTAATTACAAAACTGTTAAAAGCAATTCATTCGTGATTTTAGAATCTAATTATACCGAGAAAGCCACCTTTCACGCTTTACTAAGTCTGTATATAAATTGACCCCCCAAAAAATATAGTTTTTAATGATTAAGATTGCATGTTGATTATATTTAGACATGTGTTCATGTCAAGATGCAATCTTAAATCTTGATAAAATATTGTCAATTAACAAACACGCCACCCTGTCCTGAATTAAGAGCTCTTTGTAACAATTTGTATCAACTATATTGCACAAGAGCATGCATTGAATAAACCCTCTCGACACTTCCGTGATTAAAATACACAAATATCAGTTTAACTTGAATATATTTAAAAATGTGTTTTCTTTCATAAATAGATGGAGCCGTGGCTGAACAGTGAGTAGGACGCTGGTTCGCTAGCATGGGGTTTCGGGCTCCATCCCGGTGGACGGCCCTTTTCAGTGGTACAGGACGGGGGGGGGGGGGGCAACAAGGACAGTGTCTAGTCGTTCGGGTGGGACGAAAACTAAGTACCGGTGTATAACCCCCTTGACAGTTGGATTTTGACAAGAGTAGGCAGTAGTGCCGCTGTCCGGGCAAAATATCAAACATGAATCGTGTCCACGAATTAGGATTAATAAAAAAGATACATATTGTCCTTGAAAAGAGAAAATTATAATAAACAAATTAGCATATTGAACAGGCAATGCAAATAGATTTTTCTGAAATGGCAATTCTTTTAAAAATTAATATTATGGGCGTCGACATCTCGTTTTGGGGCTAGAGCTAGTTACATGGTACATGGTAATGTAAAAGATCGGATAATCTCGCTAGAACTAGTTAATCCCAAAAGCCAGACTAATATTCACTAAAACCTTTCTTTAACCGTTTCATAAGGACCCATCTCTAATATTCGTACAAGGCCCTACATATAACTTGTTTGCCTTAATTAATGAACATCGTCGCCACAATAATCCAGGGTAATAATGGCCGCTGTTGTATATTATGGTTGTACATTTTTAAATTGTGCATTCATCTGCATTGAATGTCTTACTACCTGTACTTTTAGAATGAAGAATGAAGGCGTCGATGAGTTATGCATATTTATCAAGCTCACATCACGATGTTGTAATAATTCATTAGATGTCAACATGTTATTCGCTAACCTTGGATACATTGTGATTGTCTCTTTAGTTATTTTGATTTATTTTGTGTAGGGATCCACGGTGGCTAAGTGGGTAAGACGCTGGCTCGCTAGCCTGGAGGTCGCGTGTTCGATTCCTGCATTGACCGAGAATGTTCATCGGGATATTCCGCCGCGGTTTACCTTTGTCAGTGATGCAGGATGGAGGGCCTGACAAGGACAGCTGTCTAGTCGTGCGGATGGGACGAAAATCCGAGGTCTCGTGTATACATTGGCAAATGTCCCTCATAGCACCTTGTATGGCGTATGCCCGTCTTCATTAGCCCAGTACAGGAGCTGAACAGTAGGACGTTAAACCCCATTTCATTTCGTTTGTAACCACGTTGTTCCTACGTTCATTGTAAGCACGCTGCTACGACTCTATGTTCCTTTCCCAATCCTGTGTATCCTTCGTATATTTAAATGATTATTATTTTTATAAAGATGAATAGGTATATAATAAGACCCCACCAAAATAACTATCACGCTGACGATGCAGGCATTGAACTTGACATTTTAATAGGTAAAACGTGTCTTCATTCGATCAGATATAAGATTGCACCCAGCCCTACAATTATATTTGAAGCAAAATTTTTCTTATAGATATTTAGAGCATTCGAACTAAAGCGATCTTCAAATTTAGTAAGTGTAATAGCAAAATAATAAACAAGCAACCGAGCAATAGACCAATGGCGACACTGGTTATCTAGCAATAGATCAATGGCGACAATAGCATGAATGAATGAATGAAATAGGGTTTAACGTCCTACTGTTTTGCTCCGAACTGGGCTAATGAAGACGGACATACGCCATACAGTGTGCTATGAGGGTAATTTTGCCCGGACAGCGGCACTACGGCCTACTCTTATATCGAATTCCAACTGTCAAGGGATCTTTTACGTGCACGCCAATGTGTACACGGGACCTCGGTTTTTCGTCTCATCCGAATGACTAGACAGCCGTCCTTGTCAGGCCCTCCGTCCTGCATCACTGACAAGGGGGAACCACGCCGGAAAATCTGGATGAACTTTCTCGGCCAATGCAGGGATCGAACACCCGACCTCCAGGCTAGCGAGCCAGCGACTTACCCACTTAGCCACCGTGATCCCCGGCGACAATAGCAACCTACCAATAGACCAATGGCGACACTAGCAACCTAGCAATAGATCAATGGCAACACTAATAACCTAGCAATAGAACAATGGCGAGACTAGTAACCTAGCAAAAGAACAATTGCGACACTGGTTACCTAGCAAAAGAACAATTGCGACACTGGTTACCTAGCAATAGAACAATGGCGACACTGGTTACCTAGCAATAGATCAATGGCGACGCTAGTAATCTACCAATAGACCAATGGTGACGCTAGTAACCTACCAATAGAGACACTGGTTACCTAGCTATAGACCAATGGTGACACTGGTCACCTAGCAATAGATCAGTGGCGATGCATGATTGGTAAAACAGATGACATCAAGTAGAACGTTTAAAATAACCAGTAACCTTCTTCCAGCGAAGTAGCGAATACAGACGATCCGTTTATTGTTCTCCAAATGTATATTTATGTGTCTAAATGTGTTGTTCACTGTTGTTTGCTATCACTAGAATCCAGTCGACTTGTGCTGGGCTGACAAGGAATGTGAGCCTTGTTGTTCCGATAGGACAAAAAAACGGGGCCCACACGTGTACACATTGGTTTCCATTTAGCCCTACACGAACACTTAATAACTGAAAATCGAATAAGGGTAGGTGAAAACATATCATACCATACGTTAATCTCAAACTGACCGAAGTATTGTGTTGACGATTCATTAAACCGCATTCCATTCGAGTCGTAGGGTGTGGACGGGGGGGCCTTGTATCAAAAGGTCTGTCATTGAGTTAACTGGCATTGTTTCGATTCGCAAGATGTACGTGAAAAGGAGAAGTGTCGTCTGTCCAACCTCGTGGGTTTTCTCCGGGCCCTCCGGTTTCCTCCCACTGTTAAAGAACCCTACGCGGAAGCGAATTATTGAAATAAAATTGGACCATATGTTAGTCCCGAAATGACCTAGTTTGTGTCGAGTGGACGTTAAGCTCCATTTCCCCCTCTCTATCATTCGAGTCGTCGAATTGTAGTAGGATTCATTTCTGTAAACGTTTGGAATGTAGAGTACGGGGCAATAATCTTTCAATTATCGACAAAATTTTCCCTCACCCAAACTCACCCGATGCCCCCGCCCAATTTGCAAATCGCCCCTTAATGGATCGTAAAAACAACAAGAAAATATGTATGTAATAAACTAAGATTTATATACATGATATATAATGATACATTGATATACATTGTCTAATCAATTTAATACCCCAGTCATCCGCCAGATGAGTTGGTCTCGTGAGTTGATTATGGGCTTGTCATGTGAATAAATGTCTAAATAATAAATTATATAACATTTAAAGCCCGACAAACAACATTAATTGGCATTTTTAGACAAATATTCTTCTCCATGTCTAGAAATTTAATTACACGTCCATTATAAATTTCTATATACAAAAATATAAAATAGTTATTTTTGTTTTAAACGCCTCCGTGGTAGTATAACCTACCTACATAGTCTTATGATCACATGATCATGTCTTTAAAAACGTAACGGACATAACGTCCGACAGCGCAACTCCCGACGCACACTGTTTGCCTCGAATGGACGTCGCAAATCCCTTCCATAGATTTAGATCCGATTGCATAAGGTACAGTTTTTTTTATAGACAAAAATCCTACACTTTTCGTTTTGTCACTGTTTAGATTGTTTGTGTTTCCGGTGTAGATTTTGAATGTACCGATGACGATCTAATCTGTCTTTCTATTGGCTCTCCTTCTATTGGTGAAGGTCAACGAGCCGAGTTCTCACGGTCTTCATTGGTTGAAGCACCACCCCCTTTCACGTCACAACTCGGCGCAGTCGCATCGGGCTGAAATCCCAAACCATGATTTCAGTAGTTCCTTGGAACTAAAACATCAGATTTCAACGTTATATCTAACGTCTGGTGTTTAGGCCTCGGCTTGTCCAAATAACTGGATAACATTTCTATGAAATCTAGCCTCGAATTCAGGGTGAGTGAGCGTGATAACCTCGCCATCACAGTTAATGTAGTATTTTTCTTCTAGACCCGGCTCGCCATTATCTGAGATGATGGAAGAAGCTCGTGTAAGTTTAACTTTATAAGCATCCACTCGGCGTTCTTTTACAAATTCGTGATCGAACTGAAATAATAAATAATAAAATTCATAAATATTTTGCCAGAGGAAATAAATAATTTGTGTTTTTAAAAAAGAAGGATAGTGTGTGTTGGCCGAATGGGTTAACGCAGGCGGTCTGTCCATGAGTCACGTGACGTGGTTTCAATCCCACCCTTGTACGTCACAAAGATTAGGGTTGCCTACCTAATCTTGTGGTCTCTCTCTCTCTGGGGGGTTGGGTGGCTGAATGGTTAGCACGTGCGCGCTGTACCATAAAGTCTGTCATTGAGTCAACTGGCGTGGTTTCAAATCCCCGGTTGTACGTGGCAAGGAGTAGGGTCGCCTGTCCAACCTCGTGGGTTTTCTCCGGGTCCTACTGTTTCCTCCCACTGCTAAAGAGCCCTACGCGCAAGCGAATTATTGAAATAAAATTAAACCATGTGTTAGCCCCGAAATGACCTAGTTTGTGTCGAGTGGACGTTAAACCCCATTTCTCTCTCTCTCCCACCCCTCTCTCTCTGTATTGCATAGGTATATTGTGTAGATCTAAAGCCAACCTCATAATAGATCTTCAATCCATGACGATCATAACAGAGTCTACATAATATAGCCTATATATTTTATAATCTCTACTGGGCGTTGTCTATTTACACTACATATGTAAATTACTATATAAATTGAGCCACACTGTTATTAAACATAGTCTCAAGGAATGTTTTAAACGGTGACTACCCACCGTGAACACAAGGGTACTTTAACTAGTTGGATAATGCTCTCACAAATTTATTCTAACAATTTAATTGACTCGTTTTGTCCCTGTGCAGCGATTTTAATCTTAGTCTTTCGTCTTTTTGCTAGTCTAGTAACTGATAATACCCAAATATTTCTCCGGTATTTTGATCGGATACGATATCCGACATTCCTTAAATTTTACACGTACGTCCGATAATCTTTCAGGTGATTTTTATAAATGATACCTTTGACTCGGTTTTTTTATCTTTTCAGATAAAAATCCCCAATAAGTTTTTAGCACAATGTCTACTAATTGTGGGCGTTGAAGCTGCGAAGTGGGGATCAAAGCGACAATTAACTATGATAGAATACAGGAAGACATTCCGATCTTGAACAAAGAAGATAATTTGAGGGAATACTTACACATTCGGCTTTGTGGTCTTGAACCTGGGCCAGCTGTTTGACGTGTTTAGCGAAACTGCATTTACTGGTCATATAGAGGTTAATAGCCTCATCGCCGAATTTTGGCACCATTTTCCGATCTTTAGGAGTTCTGGTAATGACGTAGGTGTCAACACCATACATGGTATCGTCGACTTTCTGCCATTCCTTGGTGTCAGAGAGTTGGTATTCTACATCCAAGTCAAAAGCTCGTCGACGTAATACAGTTCCAACTGGTATAACTAAAAATATAAAAAATGCAAAATATAAAAGCTGTTTAAAATTTGAAAAAAAAAATAAATGAGATTTCAAAATTTAATTAAAATGCTATGGACCATAAATCAAGGTATTTTTTTGTTGCTTTTTGGGGGGGGGGGGTTTGTATTTTTAATTTTAGTAAGCTGTCGATACGGGAATGGGTTAGGCTATAAGATCATCCTTATATAAGGAAGCTCTACCCTGGAATGGGGTCGGTTATAAAGGTATTACCGGCTAGGTTCCCTTTTTACAAATTAAATGTTAATTCAGAAAGAACACTTACTGTTATATCTAGTTGGTCCCATCCATCTAAACTTCTCACAATCATACATGATGTCACCGAAAAGACCGAAACCCAACAACAGTCCGGAGTACGCCGTCAATTCACCATCTTGATGTACTCCAACGACATTGGCGTTAGTTCGTTTACCTGTAAGGTAGAAAATGGTAAATGAATCCAAAATTTGAATTTAATACGAAATCAACTTTTTAAAATATAATAAAAAGAAAAAGCTTAAATTTAGAGAATATGTTGGGTTTTTTTTTTAAAATATACATTTAATATCAAAACTTTAAAAAGATGTATAATAAAAAGAAAAAGTATGGATTTAATTCAAAAATCAAAACTTAAAAAAAAAATTAATAAAAAAGAAAATGCTTAATAGTTGATAAACTTACCAAGTATGATATGAAGCGCTGCAGTGGTTACATCCCTGGTGCCGTGTAAATACTGGACAATATAGTCACCGGAACCGGCAGGAATAATACCAATCGGAATGGTTGCTGGTACTACTTTTGCTTCAGGAGAATTGTATTTTACTCCAGCGTCCTTCTGAACTCTTAAAACCAATCCTGTCATGCATTCACAATAGAGACCGTCACCACCCACAGTAACAATACTGAAAGACAATGAATAATAATATTTATTATAAAAATATGTCAAAGATCGAACATACAGATATTAATGACATAAGGCTAAACGAACATCCGCCATTTCAAAAGATGGAGATGTGGGGCAAAACAGAAATATCCTTCCGCCGGAAAAATGTTGGTCACTAAAATAAACATATTGACGAGTTTTTAGTTAGAAATACAAACAGCTTACTTCAGATAAGTAAACGAAGTCGGCTATTTTTGGCCCGTATATGCGAGACATGCGTAGATTTATGAATGTCCCGTCATTGTGTTCCCACGACACGTCCGTTGAGAGGAGAGAAGCTGGACGGGGTTGACGCCCTACGAATGTTTGAGTGGCGAGCGCTGAAGTGTGGGTGTATGACAAGTTGAGGTGTTAAACGTTTGATACGTGATGGCACACTGATCCGCAGTGAATATTTGCTTGGCCGCGACAATCACTGATAAGGATGACATTGATGCGGCTTAATGAGCTAGAAATATTAACTTTTTTCCTGCGACAAATTAAATTCTAAAACATTTTTTGTATATATTGGAAAAATAAATAAAGGCGTTTGACGTATTTGTAATTAAAAATTATTTCCGATTTAGTGTAAATGGGTATTAAAATGACTAAAATGCAGCATTCTCTTCGAAGCAGTTATGTCTTATGTAAACAATGCACGCGCCATTCAGCCAATGATTAACACCGCGTGCTGTGACAGCACGTGTTATGACAGAGGTATTATACGAGACTCGTAATTCTCTGTGAAACAGATTGACGTGATGGGTGTACTGTAACGGCTAATGGAGTTTGTCAAATCACACGATTAGCAACTGCCAGAGCGCGAGATATCATTTATCAATCACATCCTGTTAATCAACGAACACATAATTAACTGACGTCATCAATTTATGGTACACGACATGCAGCAGATGTGTACAGCCATGAATTGAATTTTTAATGTTATGTTAACGTACGTAAAACTACCACAACATTTATTCCTATATCTCACATAGCCGACAGGGTGTCCCTCCGCCGACTACACACGTAGACGACTCGGTGACCCCCGCGCCGACTTTACACGTAGCCGACACGGTGTCCCTTCGCCGACTACACACGTAGACGACTCGGTGACCCCCGCGCCGACTTTACACGTAGCCGACACGGTGTCCCCCGCGCCGACTTCACACGTAGCCGACACGGTGTCCCCCCCTTCCCCTGCGTATGCCTATTTCACACGTAGCCGACACGCTGTCCCCTAGTCGATGCCGCCTGCCCTCCCCCCTTATCAGGTATTTCATAGGAAGCGGACACGATGCCCCCTTTACCCTACCCTTCCCCTTCTCCCCCTTAACCCGTAGTCAACACGGTGCCCCCCACCACCACTCACTTCACACGTAGCCGACCCGCTGTCCAACCACAAATTCCAAACAAACTAGACGTTAATAAGCGATTGACACACCTAGGTAAATACAGATTTGTATTATCGCTTCTATATTTACATACTCAATAAGCTAATTGTGAAGTATGCGACAGGAATGTGTTGAAAGAACTAAAGTCCAGGTTCATTTCTCGCCCATATCATAAAGAAAATAGCCAACTCACCCATCAATGGTGGAGAGATCATATTCCTGGAGCATTTGTTTAGCTTCTTTAGGGGCCTGGGTAACTGTAAATTAAGAAAGGTAGAATAATATTTAATAAACGAAACCTTCTTCGAGTCAATATTGAAACACGTTAAACATATAACCGCACAACAATATTCGTGTCGGCTTTTCGAGATAGTGTCACGAAGCCTTTGTGGATGTTTGGACTTTTAGCCACCCTTCCTGAAAACATATCCCCTTTATTCCACCTACCCATGTATAACACATATACATTAGCCTGACGTAAATTGTTTCAATGGCAATTAGTAATTGATCTTGAATATACAGGTCACAATGGAATACAATTACTGCTTATTACTGAGCGACGTTTCGACTAGGCTTCTCTAGTCATTATCAAGCAATTGTATTCCATAGAATTGTGACCTGTATAATAATATTCGTCTACCGGTTTCTCGAGAGAGTGTCACAAAGCTTTTGTGCGTGTTAAAGACTTTTCGCCAACCTTTCTGACAATCTATCCCGAATATTATGTACATAACATAATATGTTCCGAACCCCCCTCCTCTGTCCTGGCTACCTCTACCCGTTGCCCCCATGCCCCTCGTATATAAGCGACAGCTTACCTTTCACAACAGGTTCAATTCCACTCAACTCAAAAAGACGTTTAACTTTATTTTTATAAATCTTTTCGGCATTTCTTTTACCGCTGTTCGGGTTGATGATGACTAACAGCTTTTTCGGTCTTTTGTTATCTTTAATGAAAGAAAATTATAAATTAAACATACATTATACAAAAGCTAAATCGGCTTATTGCAGGTCTTTCTTTAGGCCTGAAATGTTTTCTAAATTATTAATTAGACATTCATTAACTTATCCAGACCATAATCAACTCTAGATGGCATCGGATTTCTCCGATATTAAATAGATTAGAACAGTTCAGCCATATTTTGATTTAAGCTAAAAATGGAGGAACGAGACTTAGCTTCGAACAACCAGTGCGGTGGTTGAAACTATTGCACACGTCTTGTCAAACCTTCAAAGGCTAATATCGTCGCTCGCAATTGAGTAATTTGAATGAAATTGTCAAATTATTCATTTTACATTATCTATTTTCGAACTATTATAGCAAGAATGGCTAGCTCTTTATCTAAATCTTACATAATGTATCTTTCATAAATATATACGAAAAAATCTAAATCTGGCACAAATATGTAAATCATATTATTTGATTACCATAGGGGCATGTCGTTGACGATGCACTTGTGTATAGCGTATAGCTATGAATAGTCGTGGGCGCGCGCTTAATAAAAATGAAATCGTTGAACCAGAACACCATACATAGGCCTCATGTCAGTTTAACGGGCAGTTACGACTGACACTTATTGAGCGGATTAAAAGATTAAGAAATAATTAAAATACCTGGTGAATAATAGCCAATATGGTTATTTACTTATAGTTGGCTACAGTAACATATAAACAAACATAAACTTATTGTAACTATAAGCCGTAACCAAAATAACTGAAAACACCCAAGGAGAGAGAGAGAGAGAGAGAGAGAGAGAGAGAGAGAGATGGGGTTTAACGTCCACTCGACACATGCTAGGTCATTTCGGGACTAACATATGGTTTAATTTTATTTCAATAATTCGCTTGCGCGTAGGGGTCTTTAGCAGTGGGAGGAAACCGGAGGACTCGGAGAAAACCCACGAGGCTGGATAGAAAACCCTACTCCTTGTCACGTACAACCGTGGATTCGAAACCATGCCAGTTGACTCAATGACAGGCCTTATGATACAGCCCCCCGAAAACACCCAAGAAATAATTGCATAATTATTAGCGCCAATTATATAAAACCATAATTATATAGTTAATTTACATGTTTTATACCTGTCAGTGTCATCACAGATACAGGTGTAAAACTATTTCTGTCTTTTCTGTCATTAATAAATTGTTCTATAAAAGTTATCAACATCACGTGAAATAACCTAACATTACATTTATTGGATAATTTTAAATGGCTTACGTCATTAATTTTTTAAACATTGGTGGAATTTGAGAGTTATAATTATAATGCATGGCGCATAACATAATTGTACATCGCGCTGGTGTATACAAGTTATATGGTGTCGTACACGAACCGGGGTATGCGTATTCCTTCTAGAACCGCTGATACCATGTCTTATTAATGGAGTTCACGAAACTGTAAAATTTAAATTTTTCTATGCCACTTATTTTTTTTATTAAGTTGAAATCAGACTTAAAAGTTTTTAATTAAAAGCCGGAATGTAAAATTGTATAACACGAGTTCAAACAGGCCCGGTTGGTTCAAAAAAGTAGGACGGTAAGCTCCATTTTTCAGACCCAAATAAACGCATGCAGTGTTGCATAAGAAATTTATATAATCACGTTCACGTTAAGGTCTGGTGATGTCTTATAATACAAGATGGACGACTGTGTTTCGTGTTAAAGCATCAATTGTTTGTAATTTGTCTTAAAGATATATAATTTAATCAATAATTCTTACACAAAATATATTTATAGGTCCAATGTTTATCCATTTCTATGGTAATAATGAATACATATTGCCACGTCTTCATGAAACTTTCATATATAGAAACTCTAAAATAAAGTTGGAAGTACAACCCGACACGAAACAAAGCATTCTCAGACTTAAGTTAAGCATTTACTTAAGTGTTAGCCTTATTTTAACTAAAATATAACCCTTTATAAAACTTTTGTTGTTTTAATGCATCAATTACATCAATAAGAAACTATGTGCAAAGTTTTGTGTTTCTGGATCAAAGATATTTCTCATAAACAGTGATCGAAAGTTGAGTAAATTTCGTAACTTAAGTCTGAGAATGCTTTGTGAACTCGGGGCAGGTATAAACTTATCAAAAAAAGAAAACATCGCAAGTTTTTTTTTTTTAATGATTAATTGATTGATGAGCAGCAAGCTAATCACGCTTTAGATGAATGCATACAAAAAAAATAATTAAATAAATAATTTAAAACTTACTGTTGATTCTCTCGTTCAGTTCTAAAGCAAACTTTTCTGCTTTTTCTCCGTCAAATGTCACCGACTCTTTCTTAAGTTTTCTTCCTTTCGATGCGGCGGCAAAATAAACAGTAAAACTGGATTCTTCATGTAGTTTCACACTTAATACATCCTCAAATTGAATAAAACCTAAATAAAGTTAGAAAAAAAAAGTTGTTTTAGAAACCAAGAATTAACATTATAAAGCGATATGCATAAGAATTTAAAATATTTCATACAAAAAAAAAAAATCATTTTTTTTTTTAAACAAACAAATTGAAAGTTTAAGTTAAAATGTTTTAAACTTACTGGTCTCGTTCTGATCTTTTAATCCATAAGACAAACTCGTGTTTGTGAATGACACGACAAATTCTTCTTTTCCTTTTAAAAATACTCCTTCCATGATGAAATAAACTTGTATTATTTTAACAGAATAACTTTTATAAAAATTCTTTATCTCACTATCTATAAATGATGTAAGCACGTCTAGTGGATATCAGTGAATATTATGATGTATCGTGGTTGAGAGGTTTATTTAAATACCATTTGGCCTCTCGCGAGCATTTATAGACGACCAATGAGAAGTCGGCTATTATTACCGCTTTCTCGACGATCGCGTGCTGAGTTTAGTTGGAGGAAGCCCACTTAACCAATCTCAGCTGAAGTTTGTTATTATCGGGCGGCCTGACTCAATCAATAAAAATCCGAAGCATGTTGAGTATTATTTCACCGCGTTCGTACAGGTGTTACATGTTACTATTGTGTATATCAGCCACAGGTATTTCAGGGAGCCGCGGTGGCTCAGTAGGTAGAGGTGGTTGCTCGCTAACATGGGTGGGTGTCCCACGTTCGATCCTATAAGTGTTGGCCGAGAAAGTTTCCTAGGTTATTGGCAATGGATATATACAGGCCTCGTGATTAACCGTCGTGGTGTATAGGATTGATGCTTTGACAAGGACAGTGTCTAGTCGTTCGGATGGTACAAAAACCGAGGTCCCGTGTATACAAGAGTAGGCCATAGTGCCGCTACCCGGGCAAAATTCCCTTATAGCACACTGTATGGCGTATGTCCGTCTCCATTAGCCCAGTATAGGAGCAGAACAGTAGGACGTTAAACCCAATTTCATTTCCACTGTGGTCCCATTCATCTATTAACAGGTATTTTAACGAACGACCATAAATCATCCCTCTCACCCGAAAAAAATTGATTAAGAACATTTATTTGGTTTTCCTATAGGAAACGAGGATAGGTATGACAGTGAGTATTAGTAAACATTAAATGTCCATCACGGAGCATCGGCTATGTTTCATTCTAGGCTCGCCTCCCTGCCCGTCGTGGTTACACAAATTGATGACACGCAGCTGAAGAAAATAAATACTTTTTAAAGACAAGTAGGAAAGAGACCGGTTACGAAAAATCCCTGAGTCATGCTGGAAGAATCTTAAAGTTTGTTTAAGTGCCGTGTGATATCTTTGACCAATGCAGGTGATGTGCAGGAAATGTGAGCAGAGATTCAGCGGCGGACGCAGGTTATTTTGTAGGGGGGTCGGGGAGGTAATACTCCAGCGAGAAAGTTTAGAAAAATTGGGGTGTCGACGGCGCATATCTTAACCCTTAATTTCTTCAGCTACATACATCCGATGAATAAACGGTTCAAATTTACACGTTTCAGTGGGAGAGAGGGAGAGATGGGATTTAACGCCCACTCGACACAAACTAGGTCATTTCGGGACTAGCATATGGTCTAATTTTATTTCAATAATTCACTTGCACGTAGGGGTCTTTAGTAGTGGGCGGAAACCGGGGGACCCGGAGAAAACCCACGAGGTTAGACAGGCGACCCTACTCCTTGTCACGTACAACCGGGGAATAGAAACCACGCCAGTTGTCTCAATGACAGACCTTATGATGCAGCGCGCACGCTAACCATTCGGCCATCCGACCCCACGTTTCATAAAAATAGAATAATACCATCCTCGGTCTCCCCAGTGGTCTCATTCAATTCTACACCACTAACCCCTGGGGTAATCTATGGTGGGAGGGGGGGGGAGTTTTCAAGTTATCCGCCCTTGATGATTGTGCTATTTTTTATCGAGTAGAACCGAATGAGAACACTGGGGATACCGAGGATGGAATAATACATGAATATTATATACTGTTATTTAGCGAGGAGGGGGTTCCCCACGTGGATCCGCCACAGGTGAGATCGTGTGAGGTACAGGCAGATGATGATGATGATAATGATATCCATCTTAAAGTACTTCTATCCTTTTATCACCTGTATCTTTAGATTATAATGTAGAACATCACTCTATTTAGGGAGGGGGCTCCCCTGCGTGGGGGCTCCCCTACGTTGATCCGCCACAGGTGAGATCGTGTGAGGTACAGGTAGACAATGATGATGGTAATGATACCCATCTTAAAGTATTTCATTCCTTTTATCACCTGTATTAGGTTATAATGTAGAACATCACTGTATTGAATCATATCTCTAGAACTTTCGTAATTTCCTACTTACGCCCTTGAAGATAACTGGCATGTTTTAACATCTATTTATAGCATTACTGGTGGAGGTCCCCCTGGAGACCATATAAGATACAGGGTGGAGAGAGAGAGAGAGAGAGAGAGAGAGAGAGAGAGAAAGACGGATTAATGTCTGACACCAATTGAGAGATATTAACGTTCGCTCTATTTAAACTAGGTTATTTCGGGACTAACATATGGTTTATAATTTCATTTCAATATTCGCTTGCACTAAGGGGTATTTTTTTTTTTTTTTTTTTTTTTTTTTTTTTTGAGGGGGGGGGGGTGAACAGGCGACCCTACTCATTGTCACGTACAAGCTTGGACACGCTCCGTGACTTGATGACAGACGTTATGATCTAAAGCGTTAGAACGCTCAGCCGCCCAACTGTCCGACCAACAAGAGAGAGAGAGAGAGAGCGAGAGAGAGAGAGATATGGGGTTTAACGTCCACTCGACACAAACTAGGTCATTTCGGGACTTACACATGGTTCAATTTAATTTCAATAATTCGCTTGCGCGTAGGGGTCTTTAGCAGTGGGAGGAAACCGGCCGACCAACAAGAGATATGAAATGGAATGAAATGAAATGGGGTTTAACGTCCTATTATTCTGCTCCGACTCGACTGATGAAGAGGGGCGTACGCCATACAATGTGCTATGAGCGAAATTTTGCCCAGACAGCAGCACTATGGCCTTCTCTTATATCGAATTCTGTCAAGGGATCTTGTACGTGCACGTCAATATGTACACGGGACCTCAGTTTTTCGTCCCATCGGGGCCCTTATTCACGAAAACTTAAACTAACTTCATTGGATATATGCAAATTGATTTTACTGGTCAGCCAATCGAATTGCAGTATTTCTTAAAATTTCGATTGTATCTTAGTTTAAGTTTTCGTAAATAAGGGCCCTGAACGACTAGACTGCTGTCTTTGTCAGGCCCTCCGTCCTGCACTACTGACAAGGGGAAACCACGTCGGAAAATCCCGATATTAGACATTTTGGCAACTTAGCAATGAAGTGATAACATAACAGGTATTTCCGATCGGCAAGAGACATTCTGACAACTAAACAAACATGAAACAATAATATATAATATTTGTGGTCGTGAACAAGAAATAACAGGATTATATTCGAGTAGAATGAAGTGGGTAGGATTAACAAATAATCAGTTATCTAACAATAATGGCCTTTATATTATACATTATACATATATACTCCTGTCGCCAATGGTCTAATATTAGCCAAAGGGTTGGATGGCCGAATAGTTGGCATGTGTGCGTTGCATCATAAGCTCTGTCATTGAGTCAACTGGCGTAGGGTCGTCTGTACAACCTCGTGGGTTTCCCCCGGGTCCTCCCACAGCTAAATACCCCTACGCGCTAGCGAATTATTGAATTCTTATATCGAATTATTGAATTCTTATATCGAATTTTTGAATTCTTATATCGAATTATTGAATTCTTATATCGAATTATTGAATTCTTATATCGAATTATTGAATTCTTATATCAAATTCCAACTACCAAGGGATCTTTTACGTACACGCCACACAGTGTGTTACGGGGGAGATTTTGCCCGGACAGGGGCGCTACGGCCTACTCTTACATCGAATTTCATCTGCCATGGGTTCTATTACATGCAAGCAATGTTATAAGAAAGAAAAGTTACCAGTTTCTTTCATACAAAGTCTGTTCACACCTCCCCGAATGATTAGCGCGTGCGCATTGTGTCATAAGGTCTATCATTGAGTCAACCGGTGGTACGTGACAAGAAGTATAAGGGTCGCCTGTCCAACCTCGTGGGTTTTCTCCGTATCCTCCGATTCTCTCCCCACTGCTATAAAGACCCCTAACCATTTGCTAATCCCGAAAGGATCTAGTTTGTGTCGAGTGGACGTTAAACTCTCTCTCTCTCTCTCTCTTTCTCTCTCTCTCTCTTTCTCTTCTGGACTTGTCATGTGAAGAAATGTCTCAATAACATATATAAATTTATGGAATGGAGATTTAGCTCTTGAATAAGCACATTTAATACTGTTTCGGTGTGTATAAAAACAAATAATAACAGAAGGCCTAAAAAGGTTAAGAAAATATGTAGGTTTAACAAACCCTCAAAATATAAAATTTTTAATAATATTCTGTCAAAACTAATAAGTTCATTCAGTCCAAAAGAATCAATTTCTGCGGCCATTCGAAATAAAATCAAACCCGTTAAATACTGTTTCGGCGTATATGAAAAAAAAAAAAAATAAAAGTATGTAACCATGCTTAACACTCCCTCCGTGTTAATAAATATTATAATAATCTACTGTCAATTTTTAATACAAAGGTTATCTCTTAACCTGTATACAAACATGTCACTTTTTACACCCAAAATTCTTAACCATGAAGAAACGGGTTACGCCCCCCAACAATAAAAACACATGACGCGATATGCAGAGTTTTTTCATTCATAGAATTCTGAAACAATGTGTTGTGTATGACGCTAGTCGCGGAGCACCTTGTTAGCAGGGTGGATAAAAGGAATATATAAAATAGATAATATAAATAATAATAGAATAACTTCCGATGTAGCATATGTAAAAATGTTACATGCTCCCCACGGATACCTTGTGATTTCTTCTTTAGGTATTTTATGTAAGGCAGCCGCGGTGACTCAGTGAGTACGACGTTGGCTCGATAACCTGGAGGTCCCGTGTTCGATCCCGGTATTGGTCTACAAACTTCATCGGGATTTTTCGGCGTGGCTCCTCCTTGTCAATGGTGTAGTAATGAAAGTCTTGCAAGGGACAGTCATTCGGGTGGGATGAAAATCGAGACCCCGTGCACATATTGGCGTGAACTTAAAAGAAGCCTTGACAAATGGCATTCGATATATGAGTAGGGTAAACGCCACTGTTCGGGCAAAATGTCCCTCAGAGCAAACTGCATAGCATTATCATTAGCCCATTTCATTTCATTTATCTTTTA